TTCAAAAAAGTAGATTTACATTGTTTTACATTAATATGTGTGGGGTGTGCAATAGACTTATCTCCACGTGGTGCACCCTGGGCAACGTATACTCATGCGGCAAAAAGGTCTATTAACGGACAGTTGACTTCTGACTTCAAACTACTATCACCCCACTGTATGTCATATTCGACTACTTTCACAGTACTCATCTTACCTTTTCTCTGCCTCTTTGTCTGTCTGTCTGTCTCTGTTACGTCTGTGAATCATTATTCTGTCCCCCACTCGACTTTTTGTCACTTTGATGTTTCTTCTCCTCTCTATGTAGCCCGAAGTCAGCTAAATGGCTAATGATAGCTATTTAAAGGTCTGCCATATGAAATAAATAAATAAATATTAATATGTGTAGAGATGTTGTGAATTACGATAACCATTTAATGTGTATTATGGTAATTGCAGGTGATGCTGATGATATCTAAAATTACTCTTGTAATAAACGTCTTTTTAATATAGACGTGATAGAGAAAAATGTTTTCCTTGGCTCGTAATGTTGGGTGAGCAATGTATCAAGTCATGGAAATGTCAATTTGAGATAATTTTTAACATAATGTCGTAAAATTCCAGGGGTCATTTAAAAATTTATGGTTACTTAGCTTGAGGTTCCACTTCGCTTTGTTACTATTCACTCGCTGAGTTTCTAAAGTTTGAAAGAAAAAAATTGGCCAAATTGCGATAACGAGTTTGACTCCATAATTTTTATTTCCCCTATTAAGTTTGCTCGGTAAAACAAAAATTTTTAAATCTTCCCAAATCTCCCCCCCCAATTTGACCCCAGAGAGAATGTACAAGGCATAGTAACCTAAGGTTTTCAGCTAAGGCGAATCGATTGGCACTTTAAGAAAATATTTGATTTGATCCTACTCTTAACGGAATTCAAATACAAACTAGAGCAAAAAACAGAGCTCAGAACAGAGACAGAATTGCTCTTACACCACTGAAAGAGTCATAATTTCTTTTGCCAAGTGAACAGCATTTAGTGATTGTTTGCCCGCAGATTTTTTTCTGAATGGGAAGAAATGTAAATAGGTCATAATTCAAATTTATCGCAAACCTATTCCTTTTCGCTACTAATAGTGCGCACCCGATTGTCTGATAGGTAAAGGTCAAATTACCGGTATTAATTGGCGGATATATCGAATAAATTCTACTTTGCCATTTGCGTTAAAAATTCGTTCATTCGCCATGAACTATTGCTTCCTATTTAGTATCGAGTTGAATATTGTACAAATGAGCGTGAAAAAATAAAAGCTTGGAATAACAATGGAAAGTTAAGGCGTACGCAAAATAGTCTACTAATATTTCAAATCTGAAATCTAACATTTTCCAGTCAAAATGTGGCTGGCGTCAGAAGATGAATTTAGAGTTGATATAAAATTTTAAACTTTGTAACCCCTAAATATGTTGCTTTAGAGAAATAAATTTTTGCTATTTGTTTTTTTTTGCAAATTGAAATAGATTTATACTGTTTGAATAAATTCTTGTACTTTAAATCTTTTTAATAGAAGGACAGTTAGATTTGACATTTTATGATTTGAACTTAATTTCGGGCCCCAAAACGACTGGCTTTGACCCCTGGGCGGCCATCACCCTTCTACGAGGTCCACCTCCGGTTTCTCTTCAACAAGCTCCTTCTGTTTCTGCGTCCCTTTACTATGTCCTTACATGTTGATCCATGCGCCTTTTGACCTGAAGTGAAGTGACCGCACAAACCATACACACTGAAAAATTTCTAAATAGTGCAATTTGTAGTGTAATTTATATTACTAGAAATGCGGATACATCACCACTGATTCCATGCCTCTTGTCAGTGCTTCCACAAGCCATAATATTGTCAAATCAAAAGCGATATTCAACAGGGGGGGGATATACAGGCATTTGTGTCCAACATATAAAAGGCCACTGTTGTTTTTATTTCTTTGCCGGAGGCAAACATTGGTGCAAAAATGACAGAGAAATTGAAACTTAGCCATCAAAATACAATTAAGGGTAGGCTGACAGTATAGCGATAATTGATCGGTGGTTTCTGAAAGATCTCTATATTCACAACCGCTCCACCAACCATGACCACTTGCCTGACTGCTTCAGCGCGAATGAAATTGGTTGCTTCAGCCATGTTAGCGTTATGTATTTTGCAATCCCGATCAAGTAATTACAGTTAACAACCCAATATTTCCGAGCTTAGTGTGCCTGAAACACAAACCTATTTTGACATTAAGCACAAATGAGTAATAAAATGTTAAAGAAAAATGTAATTCCTTAAAAGATTTGAGTGATTAACTTGCTACTTTTCAAAATTACTGGCTGCAAGAAGGTATAGTCAAAGAAAAAACTTTCCAAGCATAAAAATAAGTGCTTGATAATTTGGGGCGAGGGGGGAACCTTTATGTTTCATTTTAATAACATGACAATTATTCCTAGATTTATAGATTTTCTCAAATTATTAGTCAAATAAATTGAACTTTAAGGAAGGGGAAAATGGTTACTTAACAGTCGAGAAATATAGGCAACTCTTTGAGCACAACGAATGTGAGAAATCTTGGATTGGGAATCGCAAGGTGCAGTGGTTGGGGTTAGCAGAACCCGTGGGTGAAGGTAAATAGCGATAGTGTGCAAAAGGTCTTGGAAGGGTATTGAACAGAAGTATTGGAAGGGTGCATAGTATTACCGGTTAAAGGCACAGCAGGTTAAGGCTTAGGAAATACAGAATGAAGGTTGTCAAGGAGGTTTAAACTAGGACTTTCCATGCTATTGACAGAAGTTGGTAAATGTTCGTCTGCAGCCTCCCCATTAGATGATGGCTCCATGATGGATATATATGATTTTTTGCTAAAATTAGACTCCAAGATTTAAAAAATAGTTGTTTTTAGATTGCAGGATAGATTGATGGGATGAAAAAGACATTATTTTCTGATTGATTAACAACGCCGACTACGGAACTAGCCGTTTTCTTCATATGCCCGAAGATTGTAATATATTTTATTTCGAGGTGAAGCTACCACGAAGAGATTTTATTTCCTTCGGGAGTTTTATATAAGCGTAATATTGCTATGGGTTTTTGGGTCTTCCAGAAGAAGTTTCAGTAGCATAAATAGGAATCCAAAAGTGTTCTCAACTTACATTATTCATGAGAATATTTTAAGTCTTTGTCCACAGAGCTAGAGTGATATATTTTTGTCCCTATGACTCACCATTCTCCACATTTTTTTGTCTAGACGAGTTTACTAGATCTTTATTTTCCAATAACCTTCTCCGTTTCGTTTAAACGTCCAACATTCACATACGTTTGTCATTTTTTCAGTACCCACGCTTCTTGTTCCCTACCTCACACTTAATCCCTCATCGTGGTTTATTTAAAACACGTTGGTTCACACAAACCACTGTATTCCTCACTCTGGAAGCCTTTTTTACTGTTGTTAGGTGATGGTTTAATTCCTATTATCCACAATCTGTTTCTGGGTAGGATTCGTCCCATCTTACCAAGATGAGCCTTAACCCTACAAATACATAGTCAATCATGAAGGTGTTGAAGTTAGTGGGCCTCCTCAGGTAATTCATCTAGGCTACCTCTGTAAGTGTTGGTAGCTACCCATTCTGCCGTGCCTACGAGATGATGTTTCAACCCAAACTCTAGCAAAATTGTCGAATATTCTGTTTTAGCCGGAAATTAAATGTGACGTTGGAGCTGAGGAGTAGTAACTTTTAGTTCGACTTTCGAGAGCAAATCTCCCAGGAACCAGAAGTTTGGGCTGATGATAGATGTCTTCTGGTGACTTTTCGACGATGTCAATAGCCTTTATTGCGAAATCGGGTGGGAATAAGGCATTTGGATACATAATTCTCCCAGCTTTCAGAACTGGACCCTCGTATTCCTTGAGAAGAAGGTAGGACAAATCGAAGGAAATATCATCTTCTGTTTCTAGATATATTTTGAAACGGAGGAGAGTATGAACTCTTGAAGGTTATCAGAGATGAAGAATCTCCAAATGTGTTGGACAGAGTGAATGATTATGCTAATACATTAATTTCTTTTCCGTATTGTTTATATTTAAAAAATTTCTCGAATAATGATTCTATTTCTTTTTTCATACATTTATTTGAAAAGCTCATTAAAGTATCATTACATTATGCTTCTAGCACCTAATATAATTAGCTTACAAGGACTTCTTTCTTAAGTTTGCCAATTTTTGAAAAAGTATAAAGTAGTATTGACATCAGATTTGGATGAAAATGGAATCTTGAAAAAATGATGAATTCGCAAAATTTTTGAGTACGTATTTGTAAAATTATAATAATTTATATAATGAATTAAGGGGTGTGCGATAGACTTGCCTCCACGTGGTGTACCCTGGGCAACGTCTACTCATACGGCAAAAAAGTCTATTATTCGGCAGTTGACTTCTGACTTCAAACTACCATGACCCTACTGTATGTCATATTCGACCCCTTCCACACTACTCATCTAGCCTTTTCTCTGCCTTTGTGTCTGCCTGTCTCTTTTACATCTGTGAATCGCTCTTCTTTGCCTTGGTCGAATTTTTCTCACTTTAATGTTCCTCCCCTCTGTGAAGCCAGAAGTCAACTAAAGTGCTAATAATAACTATCAAAAGGCCTGCCATTTAAAA